CTATATATATATATATATATATATATATATATATATATATATATATATACACTAATAAATAAATAAATACACTTCCACCAAAAATGAGCTAATGACATTGAGTAAATGCTTAAAGCACGTAGTACACCATCAAATAAATAGATTTGCTTATGACCAGCTAAGACCAGGCTGGAAATGGCTGGAAACCAGCCAGGAAATGGCCAAAACCCCTCTAAAACCAGCCTGGTTGACCAGCTAAAACCAGCCAACCAGCCTAGGCTGGTTTAAGCTGTTTTTTTTCAGTAGGGTTTGCATTACCTATACATCTGATAAGCTTTTTATATTAATGGACAATGCACAGACATGGATATTTCACAATGTTTTTACACCACATTATTTGAATCTACCAAATTTGGTTTACAATGTTTACATTGCTCTACTTACATTAAATCTAAATCCCAAATATCAGAAATGACAATAGATTCTAAAGATTTAATTAATGTCAGTTTTAATGTTATTGATTAATACACTTACTCAACAGATTTCATTCATTCATTTTCCTTCTGCTTTTTCCTTATAACAGCAGAATGAACCGCCACCTACTTGACAGATTTAGATATTTTTTTTAATTTCAGGTGGTTTGTGTAATGTGTTTTATGTTTGGTGAACCAATTTGCAATTGCATCTTTAGTGATTTTCACTTAATTACACTGTCTTGTCTCAATAGGTTGATTTAGAGGTTTTTGCAAAAAAAAAAAAAAAAAGCAAAAGAGGATTTAGCTTGTTTTGACGCAAAATAAATTTTTTTTTTCTAATAAAAACAAAGAATTGTCTAAAGTGACATTTATGACAAAAAAGTTATTTTATTTACTAGCTAATAACCTTTTTATTACATATAAAATGAAATTTCTGAACCTAATCAGAGTATCCTGATAGAAAATGCTCATATACAAGAAAAGAGGTCTGATGGATTTAGACGGTTTTGTACTAGAACACTTCATATATACATATATTTATATGTATATGTACATATAATACATACATATATATGTATATGTACACTGCTACAAATGTGATATTGTGTTTATATATATATATATATATATATATATATATATATATATATATATATATAT